AGCCGCCCGACGCGTGTGGCGGCGACGGCGGACGGCTGTAGTCATCGTAATGCCCGGCTCGAGCATCATCTTCGTATCCTGTCTGCTTGTCAGTGACATTGGCCACCCACATGCGTTCAACTTCAAAACTCACTTCTGCGGTCCCGCTCGCGTTCCCTGTTTCGTGGCCGTTCTCCGCTGGAGGCACGGTCTCTTGAAACTTGGTCCCTTGAAGCCCGGTCCCGTGAATAAGCTCTATCGCGCGAGATTGACCTATCACGGGAACGGGATCGTGCGCTCTTTTCCCTCGATCTCCTATCGTCCTCTTCCTTCTCCTTCTTTTTCTGATACTGCTTGATACCTATAGCAGCGGCCCCTGTCCCAACCGCTGCCGCCGCCATGTCCCTCAATCGACTCTTGCTTCTCTTCTGCGCCGGCTCGGGGTCATCGCGTCCATCCCGGTGTCGACGTCGTCGCCTCTCGTTCGCTGCAGACTCATACCCGTCATCCGGCGGGTAGGGCGGCTCGGACGGCAGCGGAGCTGTTCCGTACTCAACTAAGCCTAGCTCGGTATCAGCGTTGCGCGGCTCCGAGTATAGAGAGCGGGCCTGGGACCTGCTGCGCGACCGGCGACGTGAGCGTCGCCGCTCCCGCCGGAGATCCTCCTCATATTCCTCATCGCTCAGTTCGCGCTCAATCTCGCGCTCCTTCTTGTCCTTGCGATTCTTGTAGATCTTGCTGGCGACGCCTCCGGCTAAGCCGGCCGCTGCAATTTCTGCGCCGGTTCTGAGACGAGACTTGGACCGCGATCGGCTACGGGACTTCGACTTGGACTTATCACGGAAGTGCTTCACCAAACCAGCGGCGGCGGCGGTTGCGGCGGCAGCCTTGGCGACAGAACGGCTGCGGCTCTTGCGGCTGCGGCTACGGGATCGAGATACCGAGTAGCTAGAGACAGAGTAGCCTCTGCCACGGCTTCGGCCGCGGGTGGCCTCTTCCTTTTCAATCTTGTTGCTCTGCATGTACTTGGCGGCACCGGCTACCGCGAGAGCAGCAGCGGCGATGCCAAGACCAGTTTTGATCCTGGAGCTGCGGCTGCGTGATCTAGATCGAGATCCGTGGTGACGGTCATAGTAGTCATCGCCATAATTTTCTTCGTACGCGCTGCGCGCACGCCGGATGATCTCAGTGCCCAGACCTCCGAGCGCGGCACCAGCGAGCACTTTGCTTCCACGATTGACGGGGAGCTCACCGTGGCTGTCTCTGCGGCTTGCAGCGAGAGCAGCAATACCAGCTCCGGCAAGGGCACCCTCGGCAAGGTGGCGCTTGTGGTGGTGGTCGGAACTGTTGCTTCTCTCACGTCGAATGATTGTTTTCTTGTAGTGGTAGTCTTCCTCATCACTGGCGTAGCCACGTCCCCGGCGGTCATAGTAGTACTCGCGATCGTCCCGGTGGCGGCCGACAGTCTTGGTCTCACGGCGGTAATAGTACTCATCCTCTCGGGGGTCACGGCGGACCATTGGTTGTTCGCGCTCTCTCAAGACGACGATATTGGGTTCTTGGCGGGGAAGAACAATAGGAACTGGCGGAGGAGCCTCCTGGACAATGATCTGCTGGGGCTCAGGAGCCTTCTGTCGAATGATGACGGGCTGGGGGATGGGCGGGGGGCTGACGGGGGAGTAATATTCGGTCTCCTTACGATACTTTTCGACCTCCGCGCCGCCATGATCGTCTCGGTACTCCTCGATACGCTTCTCAACCTGAACATCGCCATCCTCACGACGCTCTACGCGCTTATCCACGACGACTTCGGTGTCGCCATGGTGATGATGGTGGTGGTGGTGGTGATCCCACGGGCGGTTAGAGCGACGGTCCCAATCGCGATCACGCTCAACTTCGATGACGCTGCGGTTGTCGTCGAAGCGGCGCTCCCGCTCGTAGTCCTTCTCGTAGATGACGCTGCGAGAGTCGCTTCTGTAGGGATCGACCTCGCGCTCGCGCTCAATAACTTGACGTTCGACAACCTGGCTCCGGGAATCAAAGGCAGAGCGGGGGCGCTCGGCGTAGGGAAATTCGCCGGAAGTACGCAGAGGAGGGGGATAGTTGGAATATCGTGATCGGCGATCGTCGTCGTCAAGCTCTACACGCTCGCGTTCGATCCTCTCAAGGGTTTCAACACGGCTAGGGGCGACTTTGTAACGGCGGACAGTTGTTCTCTTCTTGTATCCGCCTTCATCGGATGAAGTTGAGTCGGCTCGGTCCCGGTAGACGCGGGTCGACTCTCTATAAACTCCAGCCATCGCTAAATGCGATGCGATGGACGAGAAATCGGAAGCTAGCAGCGGTGGTTTCGGAAGACGGCAGGCGAGATTTAACGGCGAAACAGTTCGCTATGGGCGGTTGCAGGCGTGGTTGAACAAAGAATGTACGATGATGACGGAGGGGGGTGATGGGCTAGGTGATGTACATATGTAGTCGTTGCTCGCTGCTCGGTAGGCTCTTTAGTTGGAGCAGGGTACGTAGCCGATCAATTTAATGGGATGGCTGGTGCGACACCAACGTTTCCGGTTGGGTGAGTGCAAGCTGTCTGAACAAACAGTCGGCAGCTTTTGGGTGTGTGTGCGGTTCTGGGTGGAAATGGAGGGAAGTGCCCGGGAGAAGGAGAAAGAAACGATGATGGATGGTGTTCAAGAGCGAGAAAGAGGAGGGGGAGGGGGGAGGGAAGAGGGACGGACGGAAGCGAAGCGAAGAAGTGGAGGGAGGGGCAGAACACCAGGCGCAGCAGCGTGATGCCGGTCGAGTTGGACTGAGAAGGTGGACCTTGGACCTGGACCTGGACCTGGACTGCCCACGGCCTCCCGTCCAGCGTCCAGCGTGCGGCCCCTCCTTTTAGGGCCCTCCAGTGCTCGCTCTGCTCCCCCTCCACGAGTCCATCCCATCTCCACGTCCAGGACACACTGCAGTAGGAAGGTCCTCGGTGACGGGAACACCTACCTACCTCACACTCACACACTCACTCACTCACTCATGGACTCGGCTGTCTGAGGCACCCAAAGGAAGGCCCGGACCAGGGCTTCAAACACCAGGCCGGTGCCCTCCTTCCTTCCCTTCCTTCCCTTCCTTCCCATCCCGCCTGTTCTCGCCGTCCGGCCAAGGTTTGCCCGTGGTCGATGCGACTAAAAGGCTGCATCTGGAAGGGTATTCCATGTCGCTGCTGCTCCAACCACCCGCAACCCATGTTCAACCGTGTTCTAGCTGGGCTATTTCCATCCACCCTTCACCCAACTCCAAACACTCACCTCTTTTCTTGGTTCGCTCCCGCCTTTCTTTGCCAGCCAAAGTCGCATTTCTGCACTATTGCGTCGACTCCTTGCTTCAACAGACACGCTATTAACAGTACCTGCCCATCTTCTAGCTCACGTAGCCTGCCTAGCCTGGCTGCTGACCGTCATTTATCATCTCCCCCCCCCGACAGCCTCGACGGAGAGTCGAATGCTCGCGACGCAAAACCGTTACGTCATTTGTACTGACCAACCCGAATCCACCTTGGGAAGAAAAAGCACCCAACGCTAGTCCATGTCGTCCAACTGCCATCACCGAAACTGACCACGGGCGAGACATGCAAATAACACCTCTCTCGCCCATCCGTCAGCAACCTTCCCCAACAAAAAAGAACAGCAGCATCCCCGGCATCGAAACTCACGGCCAAGGCAGCCTTGTGACCAGGCAGATTTACTGCGGCACGCCATCCGATGCTGAGAGGGTGGGCGGTCCAGGGCAGTGACAGGTCGTGACACCCCGACCGGCCTTGTCATCCGCCCCCATCCCTGTCGCTCATGACAGCTGGTCAGAGTCTCAGAGAATCACCCCGCCATTGTGCTCGAGAGGCTCGCAACTCACTGCTTCTTCAAACCGACCGAGTCGAGTCTTGACTCCATTCCTGGATCATATTCTGGCGGCTTAGGCCTGTGCTCATTTCTTCTGGAAGAGGCCAAGCTAACGATTTGACAGTTCAGACGGCTCCCGCGGCGGCACGCTTCAGAGATGCATCGCACTGTTTGAACCCCGGGAAGATGCGCCCCGCTCCGTCGCAGCTTGGTGTCGTCATGGTACAGAGGGGCACTCGCAGATGCGCCCAATAAAACCGCCTGCCTGCATGTCCAGATTCCGCCGCTGGAACCCCTCGGGAAGCGCGAAGAACACAGCTCCACCAAGCCACCTGCTGCGGCTGCTGCGCTGTCCTCGTGGTCCATGGCGAAGACACAGTTGCAGAGATGCAGATGGAAGACTATTCGAACTTACGTCCGACTTCAGAGTCATCGCATGTTGGGATGCGCCCTGTTCGTTGCGGCCACGACAGCCGCAGCCAACTTCCAAGTTGTTCTGCGCGCTGGGTGGTTCTGGTTCCCGGAGATCTGCCAGGAATTCCTCTCTTAATTGCCTGCATTAAGGACGGCTTTTCAAGGTTTGCTTACCATTCAGAAGAAGCGGCAACAACGCGCTGCCCACCCGTCTGGTTTTCCTGCACTGCATGCAGCACTTAGTACAGCCGGCACTTACCTGCGACCTGCAGCCTGGCCACCGTTGTCTGATTTGCCAGTCGCTGACCATTGCTTCCAGAGACCCCGAGGCCTCACAGCCTCAGTGAGGCTCCAGCTGCCTGCGTCCGGTCTGCGTCGTGGCTTGAAACTGGCGTTATCTTCATTGGCCGACATCGTTCAGCTAATTATCCCAAAGAGTCTGTCGTTGAACAGTACTTCTGTTGTATGAACAAGCTATTATTTTCTCTGTGGGGCTGGCTTGATAGTTATTCTCATCCAAATCAAGCGCCAGTTGCCATGCTGAGAGAGTCTGAAATTGAAGGGTAGTGTCTTATGGCCAGGGCCTTTTTGCAGGCTTAGCCTTTGAGGGTTACTTCAACTTCTCATGTCCCTTGTGCCTTTGGTCTGACCCAAACCTCAGTCTGATTCTGACAATTCTCTACTTCGCTCTGTTTACTTTTGTCCACTAAGACCCTAAAGATGCGACTTGTCAACGTACATACACTTGAACTGGAAGAGTTCTTTGGCGAAGCAATTCCCAAGTATGCCATCCTCTCACACACTTGGGTAGATGGGCAAGAAGTCACGTTTCAGGAGTTCTCAAACAACAAAGCTCGCAACAAGTCAGGCTGGGCCAAGATAGAGAGAACGGTTCAATGGGCTCTTAAAGACCAGCTTGGGCATGTATGGATTGACACGTGCTGCATCGACAAGACTAGCAGTGCAGAGCTTACCGAAGCTATCAATTCTATGATGAGCTGGTACGAGCAATCACAAGTGTGCTACACTTATCTTGCGGATGTTCCATCTGGCCTAGACAATAAAGGGCAGGAAGACGCCCTTCACAATAGCCGATGGTTCACTCGGGGATGGACTCTACAAGAACTTCTTGCGCCATCGAAACTTGTCTTCATATATGGCTATTGGACGCGGCTTGCCACAAGGGATGAAATGGCATGTCTTGTCAGCAGCATCACTGGCATAGACACGGAATTTCTGCACACGCTTGCGGGGGAAGAAAGTCATGGATTTGCGGCAGGCAGCATCTTCACGTCATCTGGCAGATCTCCAAGAGCAAGACTCGACTCGGCAAGCATCGCACAAAGGATGAGTTAGGCGTCGAATAGACAAACGACCCGCGTGGAGGACATTGCCTATTGCCTCCTAGGCATATTCAACATCAACATGCCACTACTCTACGGTGAAGGCCCCAAGGCATTCCTCCGTCTCCAAGAGCAGATTATGATGAATTCAGATGACCAGTCTATATTGGCCTGGAACTTTGAGGGATTTAGTACGGAACAGGCTGGCGGTAATGGTGATCACTGGCTGTTGGACTACCACCGTCAGCCCCCATTTGCTGGACTTTGGCCGCCTCTCCGTACGCCTTCTCAACTTGTCAAAACATAGTACCAGTCAACATTGGCAAACCTACCCTTCACTCACTCATCACAAACAAAGGGTTGAGATTGGAGCTACCACTAGGACCAAACCCAGACTGTCCGTGTGCGTTCCTGCAGTGCCAGGACAAGTACGCGCCGGCCAGCGTGGTGGCCCTGCCTTTGAGTTTGACGAGGATTCTACGTACGGGCTAGGCTTCCTATGAAACTCGCCGACTATCAGCTTCTGGTGAAAACTCGGCCAACAGAACTCTACGCTCTCAAAAACGGGGATTACACCATGCGGCAGGAGACGAACACAGGATACACTGTTATACTACGAGGTCTGCCCAAGGATTTCAAGGTCCTACACCGATGGAGTCAAAATGGCAGCCTAGGACCATATTCACAAACCATTTTAGAGAACGACGGTCGCGCCGACAAGTCGACAGCAGGTGCCCTATTGCTGGGCAACCGCTTCTTCGGCACAACGAGACTTGTCCTCCTTGTCGCATTGAGAAGACAAGCAACCACAAGTGGCAAGTTGGCCTTGCATTTTTGTGGTCTTCTCAAACTCGAGGAACGGGAAGTCGATCGTTGGTTGAAGGATCACGCTTCAAACCGTCCAGAGATCCGACGGCAGCGAGATATCAGTGATGACAACGCCGAAGGTCTGCAGAGAATATTGGGAATAGCAGATCGATTTGAGCAAACGGTCTCCACTGCAGGTGGCACTTACAACGTGAGGACCGAAATCCAAGACTGCTTTGGGAAGCCCGTCATCTTCGTCGACGTAAGTGTCAGGCCAAGGAGATTGAATGGTATCAGAATCCTCTCACGTAACACCGCATTGTTGTTACAAAACCATGCGCGAGGATGCAGTGGCATAAACAAGGCCATGTTACTCCTTCTCCTTGGCCCGCGCCTCTTTACCGAAGTGGTCGAGATCTTGGCGCGCGAATTGGCGGAAGCTGCGGCCAATCCCTGGTACATGTTCCCTCTGATGACAATTTACTTATTCCTCAGCGCTGGCGATTCTCCCCGTTTCCTAGCTTCAGCTGTGGAAAAGGCTCGTAAGGGGTCGTCTAAGACTTTCAATCGCTGGGCAGTCACTATCTTCCTTCTTATACTCCAGCTGCAAGTTGATCGGATCAGATCGAGTGCTGGAAATATTCAAGAAGCTTCTTGCGAAGAAGAGGTATTAGTTAGTAGAATTCTGTGTATGAATATGGCTCAATGCCGTGTTATATATGGTGTTACACAGAAGATGACCCAGGGACGGTAGTGAAGAACACCATCACAATCTTGTATGGTAGGCAAGCATTGATTGCACCAGCATCACCAAATTACTCGTTGGAGGACAGCTTTCCTTCTGCCACGTGCCCACTGAGCTTTTAGAAACCCAAAACCGAAACAGCACATTGTTGTTGACAATGACCAGACTGACTCCATCGTGTGCGCTTTTTATCGTCAGGCCTTCTGCTCATGCCAGGGGATAAGAGCCTGATGTTTTGAGGAGCTTCCAGCATATTTTGCCTCATCTGAACAAATCAACAGTATGGGTGACGTTGATTCTCAGATGATACTGAACCTCTGGGTTCAATGCTACGGTCATATTCTCAACGGAAAGCGTATTGATGACCACAAACAAGTTGCTTCTTACAAACAGCGGCGGAGCCTCTCGATAGCCCCAATCAATCATGGCACATCTGACGGGAATACTGCGAAGACAGAGGGGCATGACTACGGTATGGTTGCGAGAGCCCACGACATACATGATGAGATGGCGCGACGGCGCTGTATGAGTTTCTAGCCCTTAGGAACGCGTCGCAACTTACTGACACGCCCAAAACATTGCTTGAGGATCGATCGCCTAGGCAAAAGAAAAAGAATCTTGCTTCTTAAAGCGGCCATTGTGTAAGTCGCAATGCAAAGACACCACACCACACCACAAGGCTTTTTTCACTTCATTTGAAATTGGAAATTGCGAGGTGATCGAAATGCACATGACCCTTTGCGCGCGTCGAGATGTCATTGCAATTCGCTGAAGTAAAACGGGCAAAAAGCAAAAGAGAAACTCCTCGACGGGGAATTGAACCCCGGTCCCCGGCGAATCGTGTTAGTGACAAGCCGATATCCTCACCACTAGACTATCGAGGATAGTGGATCGCGCTCTGCGTTGACGATAGACGCAGATTGAGAGCTCATGCAGGACCCGCATCTTGTTGTGGAGACCTTGACGGCCGAGCGCCGCGTGTAAGTGCGGATTAGCCGGCCTCAATCGTCGACACAAGCTGGGCATAGCGTGCTAGTTGTTCGCCAGAAATTCAACTTGATAAGGTCAGAAGACTTTTAAAAAGTAATTTCTGTGAATTTCACTGTTTTTAGACTCTTAAGAATGTGCATTCTGCTCAGCTCTGCAAACATCGTGTCCCTCTCCGCTGTCTTCGTGGCTTAAGCGGTGCTGAATAAGAAGCCGCTGGACACTGAGGAGCAGCAAATTCCGGCACTTACGACTGTCATCTGAGTATGTAAGTCTTCCCATCCAGAGAAAATAGTAAGGGCGGGCAACTTCTCTATACTTGCCTCTCTCGGGTCTTCATCTCTTCATCCTCGGTGAGGGTCGTAGGACACATGTTATGCTTTCTAAATCGGCGACTGAGCCCAGGGCAGCCATTCAACAGAAGTCTGTATAAATTGAAGTAGCCAGTTCTTCTGAAATGAGATTCTCACTCACAATTGCATCGGATTTTCTCGTAGAGTGGGACGGATATATTCAGTGGACAGCCATCCACGTCAAGAAAACTATCATCTTGCCCGATCATTAGGATACGGTCCCTTAAACTAAAATATCTGACATCTTCCTTCCTTCAGTTCCGTCATGTTATTCATTTTACATGTGATGAATCAAGATGGCGACCGATGTCACATCTCCAAGTAAACGCCTGAAGTGCCTTCTGAAAAAGCAGTCAGCGGGCGTCATGCTATCAACTTGAGTCTTTCAATGAGAGACGATAAACGCTACTTTTATGTCGTCTTACACGTATAGCCCTGTATACTGCGACGAAATGATGAAATATTTCGGCCGATGTGAATAATTCTCCGACAGTAATCGGTGAAAACCACTGTGAAGGACTCCAATGCGGCACGAGGCAAAACTTACAGTTGCTAAATAAGAGGCAGAGAGTGAAGTTGGACGAAAATGAAACTCTCTGTGTCAAACAAGACGCCAACTATTACGCTGAAGGAGGAGATGCGATTCGTCGAGAAACGAGACTGGAATATTTTTTGCCTAACTTCTCTGCCTTCGCTGAACTGCCTGCTTTATGGTATCATGCAAGAGCTCCAATACCATCGGGGCAAAGTTTCCAGCTACCTCTGGGGCATCTAGCAGTCTAAACTTACGAATCGATCCGTTGAGTTGGTCTGTTGTTCATCACGGCAACAACCTTTTTCCATGCCGTTCCCGTGAAATTCAATATCATGCCAGTGAAGTCATGAAACGATATTTTCTAAGCATTACTGCACACATTCTTGACCGACCTGATTTTCGTCTGCGTCTGTCCTTCATTGCCGCGCGCGCCTCGTTTGTTGTTGATGTATTATGAACGTATTCTAACGATGTTGCTTCATCGTCAAGTCTACACTTTTGGCGGCAGTCTTCGGTAAAACCTGTGAAGGAAGTTCATCGTATCTTAAAATGCCAGACATTGCAACTGCCACCTTTATTGGCTTTTGGAATGAGAAATCGAGCGCATCATTGGTTTTCAAATAGGCGTCACTTCGGTGAATAATTTCAATATGAATCTGATGAATGTATTCTTCCCTGTCCCGTCTGAACAGAGTCTATCATCCGTATGTAGCCACACGTTAGTTATCGACGAGAGATATCCAGTTAGTACGATGTCATCGAGTTAGACTTTCTGTCTCAAACACCCCCGAGTTCTTTTTGAGTTCAAACCTGAGCCTCGATAGGAAGCCAGGACTTGATTCAAAATTCAACACGTGTGAGGATATCTGCGCAGTGTCAGATCGGCAGCACCAACGTGCTGCTTCATCAACACTAGGCAAATGCACTGGTGGCTCATGAACACTGATACGCTTGTTTTAAAGGCCAGTCCCTTGCGAATGAGGACTTCCAATGGCCCTTGGATAGTTGTTGTGACTTTGCGATGCTACCTTGGAATAGATGGCTGCCCGTGCCGGCCATCAGATTGGGCCTGTAGGCTGGGAGCAAGAACCGCGAAGTTAAGCTACAAAGCTTTGATTGAGACTGTCATTCCGTCCGCTTGAAGGATGCATACTTCTTCCAGCGAACGAAGGGTTCCGACGCACGTACAATGGCCATGATTGTCTTAGACTGCGACCGTTCCGGGAGCAATCCTGAATCCCACACATCTGGGCAACCCGGAAAAAACCCTTCCCAAGTTCTGGTGCAAGATACCGCATGTATGTGAGGTGTTTCTGGGCGCTCCGATTTTGAAGTCGATCCTAAAAAGTTGCAGAGGCTGTGCTGCTGCCAAGCCCACAGCCTTTCTCCTGCTCCTCTGTAGAGTCATCATGAGAAAATGCTAGCTTCAGGTGGACCGCAGAATTCGGCAGTTTCATGTTAAAGTCATCGACAAGCATTGGTATGCTTCTTATGCTTAGCCTGCGATGAGCGATATACGTCGACCCCCCCCCCCCCCCGTCTAGGCAAATTCGGTGTGGTCGACGCAGGCCCCCGAGATACATGTC